TTACTCGTTATACATAAACTTCAAGCGTAATGCTAAGTGCTAAAAACAAAAATAATCCAAAATTAAATGGAATAATACCAAGTCAAATGAGAACCTTATCAACAAACCTGTGCAGTGCAATTCGCTAAAATGCGCCTAAGCGGAGAGATTGTTTTCTTTTCTTTCATATCAACAACTCTGAAAAGAAAACAAAAGGAATGCATCATTATTTTCAGAATTTGAAAGAGTGATAATTGTTCGTGGATTGATGAAATTAGGGTTTTCAATTAAATTGATAATAAAAAGGTTAAAAAGTAAAATTCAAGTCCAAGAGATTGATTAAGCAAGCTGCGGAAGAGAAAATTACCTGTGCAATTCAACATTTTTATTACGCGGGATTTGGAGAACAATTTTCTACTGATATTCTTTTCTTTCGGTACCAAATCTAAAGAATTTATTTTCAATCAACAAAGCGAATTTACTTCTTAAACTACACCTAACAGTCTTCATCTCGAAAAATTAGGGAGGTACAACGTCGTCGTACAGGAAGCCACCGCCCACAAGTGTGTTTTGTGATTATTAATATTATAATAATAATAATATAAAGATTGGTCTATAATTCATAAATTCATAAATTTTAATCGTCTAAATTAAATTAAATTTATAATTAGTTTAAATATTATATTTACAATAGTAAAAAATAAAGAGTTAATTGCAACATATCCCCAAACTATGACTCTTATTACAAGTTGGTCCCTAAACTTTTAAACATTTTAATTTTATCCCTAAACTATGACTCCCATTCTAAATTGGTCCCCCAAACTTTTAAACATTCCAAATTCACCCTCAAATTATGAACCTTATTCTAAATTAATCCCCCAAACTTTTGTACATTCCAATAATATCCCCCTAAATCATTCAAAACTTCAAAGTTGAAATTAGAATATTTAAAAGTTTAGGAATCAATATAGAATGAGGGTTATAGTTTGGGGATGAATTTGATATGTTCAAAAGTTTGAGGACTAATTTAAAATAAAAGTATAGTTTAAGGATGAAATTAAAATGTTCAAACTCTTGGGACCTAATTTGAAATGAGAATCATAATTTACGGATATATGGTACAATTAACTCAAAAATAAACCTTAACTAATATATTATTGATTATTTTTTTTCACCGAAAATTTTAAGATAACTTTCAAATATTTTGTGAAAAAGAACTTCAAATTTATTTTCACAAGATATAAACCCTAATTTCATTGAAAATAGAAAAATATCCAAATTAAAATGAAAGTTTTAAATTGACAATAACAACGTACATATATCCTAAACACTTAACTGCTCAATCCCAAAATTTATAAATAGAATAACATTTCTCTTAACCAATGAAATCATTTGATGAACTTAGTGCTTAATTAAATTAACTAACATAATTTTACACATTTAATCTCACCCCTACATAAAGTAACCGAACAAATTCTACACACACCGAAGTTAGTTACTTAATTACAAGGCAATGTCTGGATAGTAAATTGTTATGGTTATACAAATTTATTTTATACGGTGTTTGTTACTTACCGTTTCCATCACATTAATTCAAGTAAAAATTTTATTTAAATATATTCAGTGACCTCAATAGTAAAAAAATATTGTTCTTTGTAAAAATATTTAAATTAAAATAGTTACGTATATATGTTATTAATATATAAGAAAGATTTTAAATAAATACTATATTAAAATGACTCAAGATTATTAAAAAAACACTTGTACCTTTTATTTTATGTACATGAAGTGTCGATTTGGAAAACAAATAGATGTATGTTAAGGGAGGCGAAGGCCCACAATGTTATATGCAACATCTTAAAAGATGCCCACATTTGTGGTCCAAAAATCCCTCAAAGAAATGATCATTTTCAACTACCCACCAAGCTTTAATTCCAACAGCTATTCTTATATTGACAGTTAAAGGGTTGTTTATATGTTTGAACAAAAGCACACCCATCCATATCCTTATTTTTTTTAGGATCCATGCATTATATTGTCTGTCTTGTTTGCCTTGATGTTTGCTTATATATCTTTTTCAAACATAAATGGAGGGCACTCCTGTGCTCATCTATCTTCCTGTTGTATGGGTAATTTGACAACCACATTGCTCTCATTTGCCTATCCATCTCTCTCTCTCTCTTCATTTCTCACAAAACACTACAAAATAAATTAGCTGACCCTTATTCCCATATGTAATGGGGTAAGGGGAGGTAGGATAGTAGGCTGCCCCCAACACCAGGTTAAGAGCAGTTTCCGTGGGAGACCTCCGAATTATGAAATGCCCTCCGTGGGACTCGATCCCACGACCTCAAGATTAAGAACCTTGCACTCTACCAACTGAGCTTGATGATATTAAATATATATATATATATATATAATATCGAATGATGCACCGAATATTAATAATTCTATATATCATCATAGAACTAAATAAATTTAGTTTTATAACTTTATAATTTTGTGTCATCTTCACTGATAGTACATAAAATTATACAGTCAATGCATCAAATATTAATAAGCGTTGAATTTATTTATACAATTCTCTTTAAATCTTAAACTGCTACCTCTGATATATAAAATAAATTATTATATGTTTATAAATATAAAATGTGTTTTTCCTACCTTAATTTTCAAATATATATGGGCAATGATGTTGAATTAATCATAATAAAGGATTATTCAAGAAATGGGACTTTTAATGTACGAAAATTTCCAACAAGTACAAATTATATTAAATGGACATTTTTTAATTAATTTGGTATAAATACAAAATAGTATATGTTCAATGACTCATTCATTTTGACATTGAACATACTCATGCATATATGGTGCTCGAACCCGAGACTTCAAGAAAAAACATACAATTCTTTAATCACTAAAGTCGTTTGTTTCGTCTTAAAATATAGTTGAAGCAAGAAAATAAGGGCAAGAAACCTGCCACGTTCGACAAGAAGCAACAGATAACGTGAATGGTCCCCCCTCCAAACCACAACCTCAGCGACTACGAATTTAATGGCAAAGGTGTTTGCATGAATGAAGGGTGCTTGTTATAACATGTACATAAACATACACATACGTTATAACTTAATGACAAAACCCCAAGAAATTATGACTTTCAGAAAGAGAAAACGAACAAAACAATGACATGTCATGCAATGCAACGAAAGGTAGGAAGGAAGAATTATGATCTCCAAGTGAAGGCATGCAGTTGAGAATAATTGCAACACCGATGGCTCAAGCATGCAAAATCAAAAAATTCTTTCTAAAAATTACTATTTTAAAATAAGAACAATTTTTAAATCAAAATAATTTTAGATATAAATACTTATTATGTCGATATATCAAATAATAATTGTACTAAAGAAAAGAGATATGATGGCATATGTTGATAAAATATAACATCTAATGATATAATTGAAGTTGAAACTAAAAATTAATGTCATAGTTGAATAAATTAAGAGTTCAGTGATATAAACGATATATGACCTAAAATTTAATGACGTCTAATATAGTTTACCCTAAAAAATAAAGTATAAAGTATGCAAATTATTCCCAACTATAGTGTATTGTTTAATTGAGTTCCCGATTATTAAAAGTTATAAAATGATCATCCGATTGTATAGTGTTGTTTTGTTGAGTCATCTGACTATTAAAAGTTAAAAAATGTTCATCCAACTATTCATATGTTTCAAACTCGTCATTTTTTATTAAAAGTCAATAGTTGTATGAGCTGGACGTTAATATGCTTATTGAGATATACTAAAATAATATTTTAATGATGTTTAGTGGCACCGCCGTTGCTTTCAAGCACCGACTCCACAACATAATGTAAATGGAGAGTTGATCCACAAAATACACCTCAAACAATTTTAAGATCATATTTTTTTTCATATCTCAGTCAATAGGTATCATATAGCTCAGACAGTTGCCAATTTTTTAACAAAAAATGACAAGTTTTGGAACATATGAATAGTCAGGTGACCATTTTGTAACTTTTAATAATCAAATGACTCAAAAAAGGGATCATTTTATAACTTTCAATAGTCGAAGTACTTAATAAAGTAGCGTCATATAGTCGGTGGACATTCGTGTACTTTACCCACAAATTAAAAAGATTAATCCAGGGAGGACGATGTGTGGTGAGAAATAAATGACTAATTTGAATTCATGACTACCTGTCTTGTTAACATCAAAATAAATAGCAAAGGCAACGTGTTTATATATGATTGATGGCAAAACATAACAAAGAAATGCCATCAGTTAATATTCCAAAACAGTATTGAGAGCAATGTTGTACTCATCAAATAAATATCATTTGGTAACTCATTAAAGTTTCCTTTCAATTTGATTGATGTATCATGGATGTATGAGTTATGTACATTTATTGTTATAGTGATTATTTAAAGGGTTTTTCCCCTCCTAATTTTCTTCTTTTAGTGACGAGGAATTAATGATCAATAGTTAATTGGTCAACTAAAAATAGGCTATATATTCACTCTTTGGCACTATCTTAATAACTCAATCCCCTATATTTAAATCATATTTTCTATATTATAAAGTATTTTTATTTTGATTGAGTCATTCTTATATCATATTATATTTTTATTTTGATTGAGCCATTCTTATATCATATTAATTTATTGATCTATTTTTATTTTAAATCCTTATATTGGTTATTGATAAACATTCACAATCTTAAGTTACAATTAAATTTTAATAATATCATATTACCAATTATATGTTGATAGTATTTATCTTGTATAGTCGATAATTATATTTATTATTAAGTTTTTAATTTATATTATATTTAAAATTCAAATCTAAAACGTGAAAATGAAAAAAATAATCGGTCCGTTGCCATCCCTACGCTCCCCCCTCGCTTTCACATTCATGGCCATGGCTGCTTCATTCCTCCGTTGATGAATCCTTCTTTTATAGGCCCCACCTCCTCCAATCTTAGCTACCCCTTCCAGTTCTCTCTCTTAGCTCCTTCCCATTTTGGATCCCCTTCATATTTTCTCTTTCTCAAAAAAAGAAAAAAAAACATTCATGGAGAAGAATAATGAGAAGGAAACACACGATTTCATGAACGTGGAATCCTTCTCTCAGCTTCCCTTTATCCGCCCTTCCCTCGTTAAAGAAAAGGGTATTCGTTTATTCGGCAAGGAATTCGGCGGCTGCGACGGTGGTGACTGGGCTACGGCCGCCACCATCAACGACTCAGAGCCAAACTCAGCTCAGAACAACGAAGACACGACGAAGGAAAACGATAAGGAAGAATTTAACAACAATAATAATATCAACAGAAGATTTGAGTGTCACTATTGTTGCAGAAACTTCCCCACATCCCAAGCTTTAGGTGGTCACCAAAACGCTCACAAAAGGGAACGCCAACACGCGAAACGACATCACCTAACCACGCACCACAATTCTTCTGCGTCCGATGCTCATAATATTTATGGGGTTTTCAACTATAAGCTAGCCGTAGCTCAACCAACGCCGTCAATGGCGGCTTACCCTTCGTGGAACAATAGCATTAACAGTAGTATGAACATCCGTAATGGTAGGTTTTATGGGAACCAAGGCTCGTTTTCTCAGCCACCGCTCATCAATGGCAGCCCACTGGGGTTCATGAGAATCCCTACTACAGTTCAGAGTAACTCATGTAATTTCAATCGTGACCGTTCGACGACGCACGATGAGTTGAAGGTTCCGTCACAGGTGGTGGTCGGTGGTTCGAGTTCCCAGAGTCGTGGGTACGTTTATGGATCAAAACCTAGCGTTGGTGACCATGTTAGCTTGGATCTACATTTGTAATGAGTTCCCAGATTGTTTTGAACGTACATCAGCTTCTTGTCTTGTGGTGTGCAAAAACACTCAGTTTCATTGTTAGAGGAGTGAAGAAATTTGCTGATAGGGGTTTAGTTTAAGCATCAGCAACTGATCTATAGCAGGGACATAATTGATTTCAATACTTTCTCTCGCAACTCAAGTTCCATATGCTTCATAAACAAAGGGGGATAGATCATCATCTTCTTTTCTTTTTCGTTTTTTAACATCTTGGATTTTACTGTTTCCACTATCATTTCATATGTAAATGAAATAATTTACCATCTCTTCATTTTTTGCTATGGAATGTTCCAGGATTTTATTTCATTTTTAAGGATTATTTATGATTTTTTTCTTTTGCAATATATGCTCTTCCCTGTTCTCAGAAAATTTTTACAAGTGTGAAGAATATTGTCTTCAAAATGGCTATAAGTACAATGGATTGAGAGAGTTTTGGGTCTGATAATTTTAAAATTACATATAATTTTAATATTTTTGTATAATTATTAATGATTTAATTTTATATTTTTATAATTTTACAATTTCTAAATTCTAATATAATTTCTTAAATTCACGTCTTTAACCTAAAATCATACTCGATCCTTTATTAGAAACGACCAACAAATGAACCATATCTATCCAGCTAAACATGTGAACTATGTACATAAATATACGTTTTCTGTTTAAAACATTCGCAAGTGTTGCAGAATAGCATTTACACGCACAAAGTAACATCTAAAAAAAAAATTTGATTTAGAAGTATAAGATGAATGTAAATTGATATATGAAATTATTCATTATTTTTTACAAAATTATTATTATTATTAATCTGAAATATCAATTTATACTTATTTAATAATCTTAAATCAATATAAAATTAAAATGATTACCATTTATAATTGGATCATACTTATCTCTCTCCATATAAATATAACCCCAAAAAAACACTTATTCAATGATCCTATCTACCACAATATAAAAAGTTATATATATATTTTTCTTAAAAGAATTTAAGCATTATAATCGAAATCGACTATTTATTTATTCACGATAATAGATTTTTCTCCGCCTTTACTGTAACATCCTCAATATCGGGTTAGTGACCAAATTGTAAAATTTCAGAATTTGGTGATAAAAGTAGAATAGTTCAATAGTTCAATAATTTATTTGAAAATATTTCCTGAAAGTTGTTAGTAATTATTAAAGGGCAAACTGATCATTTGACAAGGAAATATAATTATCTCTTTATAAAGAGATAAGCATGTGGGGAGAGTTATATGGAAAACTCTTCTCCCTTCTTCTTCCTCCTCCCCGTGGAAGCAAGGCAAAGGTAAAATTTATTTGTTGTTTATTATTAGATGAAATTTAATTTGGGTTTTGTTTATTAGATGATAACTAAGCTTAAGGAAAGCTTAAGTTATATATTAAAATCAAAAGATGAAGAAGTTATGAGAGATTAAAGTGAAGGAGTTTCTAAATGAATTTTTGGAAAAGAGTTGATAAGTTGAATTTGAAGTTAAATTTGACTTGTCATCAGTCTAATTATGAGATATGAAATGTTAGAATTTGATTTAAAACATGCTAAAAATTGGGTATGATTCTTGAAGTTCATAAAGATGAGAGGATTTTGATGTTTAAGATGAGATAAATGGATATAAATGAGCTTAAGCATGTATATGTAAGTTAAGAACATGAAAGGGGATGAAACATGAAGTGTTGAAGCTGAAAAGAGTGAATTTCGTACTTAAAATGTGATTTCTGGGCAAAGAGTATCGATACCCATTCAATAGGTATCGATACCCTCTTGAACGAAAAATTCCAGAATGTAATAAGGGTACCGATACCTTAGGGAGGGTATCGATACCCCCTAAAGGAAAAATGAAATTTTGGTTCATTAAATTAGCTTAAGTTATTAACATCAAGTTATAAGGTTTTGGCTTCTGATAATCATCTCAGAAATTATGTTTATGTAGATATTGAGCCTAAACAAGTTCTGGAACAATCAAAGAATTAGGATCGAATCAAAGCAAGGCTAAGGTGAGTGCAATTTAATTGTACTTATGCTATCGAACAAACATTGGCTTGCGATGAGCCAGTGATGAAGTTACTATGGTAAGAAGTGACTCCTAAAATATTATTTGATTTGTGATTGATGAAATTCTTATGTGTGCATGAATACATGAAAATGTGTGTATATGTGTCATATGTTATTATATGTGGTATTGACAGAAGTGACTATAGGATCACGAATTATGTAAAATAACAAGGACTTATGTGATAATAAGAGAAAGTGATATAAACTAGGTGGTATAGATATAAATGATAGGTTAAATGACATGGACATATGTGAAAATATGAGAAATGATAAGAACTATATATATGTTATATGTTATAAGTGATTTCATAAGAAATGACACAAGTTATGTGAGTATATGTGTTTATATAATTGATGTGAATACATGATGTGTTATGAAGATATAAACCATATGATATGATAATAAATAACAAGAATACATGTATAAATGACTATAGGAACATGTAATATAAGATATGTGAATCTAATATATGAAAATACTTGCCTATGTGACAAGCTATGTAAAACTGTGAGATAAGTTATAGGGCTTTGATATATGGATTAGATGAAAGTATATACATGAATACATGTACAAGTTTATATGTTATTATATGTGCTATGTGATGTATATATGAACATATGTGAATAAGATATGATATACATGTTTACATGAACCCATGAGAAATGATATAAGTTATATGATACGATTTATGTGATTACATGCACATGTGATACATATTATATGAAATGACACAGATGTTTACACATACATGTGGTATGTGATAGAAGAAAAGGTATATGTGATCACAAGAGAATGACATGAGTACATGAACATATGAAACATAAGAATAATGCCCATGGTATATGATACGAGAGCTATAGGTATAGTTGGCATGCAAAGAGTCGAGGGTACGAAGTCCTTCGGGACATATACAGAGGTCCTTCGGGACAAATACATAGGTCATTCGGGACAAATTTCATATGCCACTCGGGACAAATTTCATATGCCACTCAGTGGGACTTATACGAGCTGTGGTGATAGCATAAGTGCACAACCTCAATGTACTCGAATACCTTAAGTTCTCAGTAATGTACACGGGTCTATAAAAGATATCAAAAGTGTTTGCATTATTATTATATGATGTTATGTATGTTTCTTTTTGAAATGATATATGTGTCACATGATATACTGATGTGATAAGTACAAGATCATATGATAAATGGGTTAACGATAATGGTAGAAATCATGATAATGATGGTTTTATTACATGTTTTCATGCCTCACAAAGTCATCGACTTAGCATGTGATTGTTTCACACGTAGGTTTGGAAAGCGAAAAAAAGAAGCAAAGAGGAACAAGACAGGTCAGTTCTCTTTATCGAAGATCATATCAGAAATGTAGTTGAATTACATGTATTTTGTGATATATAATTTAGTTGGCATGTAATATAAAAAGTTTGAATATGATATGCTCTGATCGAGTTTTGTAATGTTTTAAACATATATATGTAAATGATAATTTATAGTGATGAAAGTTTAAATTTTATGAGTTTTATACATGTTTTGTCGAAATTATTGTAGCAGGGTATCGATACCCCTAAAGCATTCTGGAAAATTTTAACATTCGGTACTATTCACGGTATTGTTCATTACTGTTCATGGTACTGTACATTATTGTTCACAATATTGTTCATATCGTATAATACTATTCATAAAAATGTTTCTTTCCTTAAATTTGTTATAACTAACATAATTCAACAGTATATTATCGTATTTTCTTAATATAAGTCCAAACGTTCTGTTATTTTGTAAGAATATTGTTTTAAAAAGTCAATGTGACATCTCATACTCGTATCTAAGTCGGGTACGGGTTGGGGGTGTTACATTTACCTACAACGTGGAGGGTGATCATTGATTAGGATTAAAACCAAAGAAAATTATATTAGATTTAATGGGGACAACAATTAATAATTCTTTTATTTATAAAATAGACACCGAAAAAATATTATTAATCATTTCATATATAGATACATTCGTAAAAGAGTTATCCTCGTAATAATAAATATTCAAAACTAACACATTTATTCACATAATCATCTAAAAACAATTAATATATAATAGTATAATTTTTCTTTTATTTTTATATGCCCCAATTTTTCAGGCTCAATCTCATAATCAACACGTAATGCTTCATCTTTACCTTATCTATTTGCAAGAAGACTTGTATAAAAATTAATGTCAATTATGATTTATGTTGAAAAAGATTATTTTGGGTCTAACTTTTCTAAAAAGAAAGTGACTATATAATAATAGTTTATTTTTTTAATCATTGATATTCAATTTATTAATCAATTATTAGTGGTTCATTATGAAGCGATCCTCCTAATTCAATTTATTCCATTTGCAAATATTAAAATTCAAATTCATAATTTCTCTTAAGAAATGTAGTGTCTCATCTCGTTGAACTAATTAATTATTAATTAAAAATTGGTTCATGAGTTTTAAAAAATATTCTCATATCTAAATTACATAATATATAAAAATAAAAAGAATGATATGCTATAAAATTGATAAATAAATCAGGTCGTACATTGAATATTAGGGGAAAACAAGCTTTTCGTTATTTATCTAAGCCTAATTTCAGACTGAATACTTTGTCCAAATCCTTTAAAATGTGGAACAAGCCTTTGGATTTGTACGTATAGCAATAAGTTTAATACCGGATCCATTGTAAATCAAAAGAAAATTGGATTTTATTCTATTCCTTTAATAAAAAAGGAAAATTATTAGGGTTTTGATTAGAATCTCTTAGACAGGCCCCAACAATGTGAAAGCTACGGGCTTTGATCGGTTCATTCAAACGAAAATAATCCAAATATAATCAAAGCCCAAACTGAAAAATCCACAAACCCCATAGGCAAGTTAAAGAAGCGGCTATAAGACGATCAAAATTAGGGTTTTGTTTATCTATATAGATCATTGCAACTGAAAGGGGAAAAAAGAAAAAGGAGAGTGTAAATAATGCCAGCAGGTCACGGTGTTCGTTGTCGAACAAGGGATTCATTCTCCAGGCCCTTTAGGAAGAAGGGTTACATTCCTTTGTCTACTTACC